TTCCGTTATAGTTGTTACCAAAAATACCGGGTAGAATTCTTTGACTGTTTTACGTGATTTTTTTAATGGTGTTTTATCACATGCAGAATACACACAGATGGTATTCGTGAATTCCGGAGATGCTGAATAAATACAGGCAGCTAAATTTTAATTTAAAATACACGTGCATACCTACATTAATTAGTGATATTCGTTGGTTGTGCCATGAGCAAACGTGCATGCAAAAAAATTATTATTTTAATGAAATGAAAGAATTTACTGCAATTAAAAATGTCTATAAAAATTGAAGGTTCATGATATACACTTTTCGTCCTTTCGATTTGAATCAATGCCTATCACTGCTATTTTTATTCTTAGGTGTAAGAGTTATTAAAACTTTCTCTTTAAAGAAATTGTCTTATTACTGAGTACTACCACAATTAATGATTTTTTTTCGGACAGACGGCACCGGGTATTCATTCTATGAATGAAAATTTTGTTTACCAAAATGTGTTTACTTACTTTTTATCGGGTAAATATGTTGGCCGGAATCCAAATAATTGATTTTCAAAGTGGTGGGTAGGAGGAAAGGCTGTCTTAAGCCCTTTTGTGAATTGTAGCAATGGGTGATTGATGATAGCTGTGAAGTGATTAACAAGACAGACGATGTGAATATAATAGACGAGTACAAATTATAAATGTTTATCTCTGGAATATTACTATCGCATACTTATTTGTATAAAACATGAAAGGAAACTGTAGCTTTACGTACTCTGAGCTACGATGCTGGGATTAGTTACGAATACCCAGTGGCGCAACAACGTTACAATTTGACTGGGTGCTCACCAATAAATGACTAAAAAAAAAAAAGGATTGGAAAAATCGAGTTCAACTGCCCTCATTCTAATACCATAAATGACTAAAAAACAAAGTTATTTCGGCTGCTCATTTACGAGCTTGAACTGTTTGAACGGAACTTTCAAGTTCAATTATTATCTCAATCGACAAGAATTGACTGGGTGCCCAACCCAATCGAGTGGGTGCCCGAGCACCTGTGGACCCACCATGTTGCGCTCCTGCAAATACCAACCAACCTGCGCGAAGATAGAAAGAATGCACACTAGGCGTGAGCATGACAGAAATAGTTGGAGCAAGCAGAGCTCTCGATGGGCGGTCTTAGGAGATCGGCTAGAACTGTACAGTACTAGGCGAAAATGTTTAGCAATTTCTTAAAACAAAAATATATATAAATTAACAAAAGAAAACAAAGCAAAGGTTTTATAGGTGTGTATAACGTAAAGTTAATTTACTTGTTATTATTTTTGGCTAAATATGC